ATACACCAAGAGATTCGAACTTATACTTGTAAAATATATTTAATCTCATCGTCAATGATAACACAACGACTCGGGGGAGCCGTTAAAGTCTTAGAATCTTAAGACATTACTTAAGATGGTCTTGAAATAAGAACAGACTATGAATATCAGCCTCAGATATCCGTAGCACGTTAGATCTACGTTGCAAAACACGATGTGCATTTTATGTCAGTTAGCTCGTCATTGTTATGAAATATTCAAAATATCACAAAATAAACTAATATGCTGCTCGTTATATTTTCAGTTCGTCTCATTATCGACGTTTTGTCAATTCCTAAAAACTATGAAGATTACGTCGACAACTTTTCTTCGATACCACGGAATACTTAATAAATACGAATCAATTTAATGGCGAATTATAAGACCACTGAATCGTCCTCAAATATACAATTAAACTCCAATATTGCAATACACTTTGAATTCATAAATGTAAAATGTACGTATTATTGATAATCAATGTATCAGCTTTCTCTATTAGGTACATAAGTTATTCAAGTTAATAATTCATCTTACTTCGCGCTCTTAATTCGGGCGGTAAGTCTGACTCGGCAAAACATGTAATGCGAAAGATATTCAATGCAAACATTATTAAGAAGATTATCGCGAATTTTAATGAAAGAACGACACCTCTAACTCCGATTAAATGCTGCTGCTGCTACTTCGATACAAATGATTAATCATGGAAATTAATTATGCAAGTCGATAGTAGCTAATCGTTCATAAAAAACGATCACGATCACATTTCAGGAAAGAATGACGGAACAACAGAACGGCCCGCGGCATTATCTATTCCTTGGAGCATTATATTGCGAATTATATTTATACGCATTAAATTTATGTACGCCGAATATGCTATTTGTGTAAACAATTCTTAAAAAGATGGAATTATTGCATTATTATTGCATTAATCTATATTATCAAAACATGCGGAACATACGTATATAAAAACATGCGGAACATACGTATATAAAACAAAGGTATATAAAAAATTAATTTATCGTATATTTTATTTACGCGGATAAATGTGCTTTATATAAATTACATGTTAGATTTCCCGAATGTGATACAAATTCTCTGAATTTAAAATTGTTTCTTGACACAATCGGATTTTATATAAAATTTTAATTATTTGTAATACTTTAACACGCTTTTTTCATAGATATAGAATTAAAAAAAATCGACTTTTTAAATCTTGCCTTACCGAAATAATTCCAAAATCGTGTTTACGTTTATTTCAAGTCATGCGATTTTATTCTATCCATTTTAGAAAAATAGATTTCCCTAGATATTACATGGAGAATTACTTTAACAAATACCTACTTCAGATAAGAAATAATTTTTGGATATACACTTAATACGTGCTGTTCATGCACGTGTTTCTCACTCGTTTCTCACTTCGTATTAAGTACACACAAAACGTAAAATATGTATCTCTTAAAAGTTTTACAGCTTTTATATGATGTACAATGTAACAAAAGAACGGCTCAATGTCGCCTTTGTCCTGATGGAAAGAGTATCCGATATTACATGCACGCGTGACATACATGCATACACATACACACAAACATATATATGTAGGTACACATGTATGTACACACACACACATTCTCTTTGCCAAGAAATTCATAAGAATAAGGTATAACTTAGCAGAAAGAGCTCGCAGCGTCGCAAACAGTCTCGTCTAATATATGCGCGACGCGTCTTCGCTCGTTGCTCGGATAACTTTCTTCGTCGAGGTTTTAAGCGGTCGGACGGTCAACTTTATACGTCCGCGCTGGCGAATTATGGAAATCCTTCCTGAAAAAGTTCAAAGTGCGACGAGACCACGCTAACGTGTCAAAAGGTGCAAGTCGTTGTTAAAGTTCGTCAAAACTTTTCAGAAAAAGCATTAATGTTTGTCCTGACGCTATCATGTTATCATTTTAACACGCGATTACATATTTGCGATTTAATAGCCGGAGATCAGCGCCGGAACTACTTAATATAAATAACGTAATTAATCCGCTTGCTAACGAAGAACCAATAATTTACTCTAGAGACTCTAACAATAAGAATTCATTTTTTTTCTATTAAACATATGCGTTTCAAAAATTATTAAAAAAAAATTTATTTAAAAAAAAATTATTATTTATACACAATGAGTATTTTTATTTAAAAAATTTTGTAACAGCCAAATCCCCCTCTTTCTCTTTCGTTTTATTACAAGAGTAGTTAATTAATTATTGTTGAATAAAGTTGCGTAGGTATTATCGTAAACGCTGCAAACTTATAACACGAGACAATAGATATAGAAAAAAAATCTGTTATGTTTGTAAGATTACGGGAGTTTATTCCTTCAATGCAACGTTTATCGCGACTTGATTTACTCGCGCAGGAGTAATTTCTCGTTCGCCAGGTGACTGCAGTAAATCTCGCGGATTCATGCCCAAGTCGAAGGTCCTCTTATGCTTTTCGACGCGCGAAAGTCGTAACAATTCGACTGCGGAATAGGGCAAGCCGCGCGTGCTGTGTTGCTCGCAAAACGCAGACGCTCGGCGTCTCAGCGTCGCGTCGGAGATGCGGGAACACGTCCGAGAAGGCGAGAAGTACGGACCTTTGACGCGTAAAGCGTGTCCCGAGTGCGAACAAACGATCGTAATCGTAAAACGTCGCTCTGGATCATTGGCCGATGATTGCAGGGGAAGCGATTTGAAATTTTCTTCTCGTGAACCCCATCGACACGTCACGTAAAATTCGCGCGTGCTTTAACTAACTCGCACTAACTACTTGGTGGTAGGACTTATTTGTAATTTTTGCTTGGCAGCGTACATATTTATTCTCTTCAACTTGTCTTGTTCATCCGTCAAACTCTCACAGAGTGTATTCAGCTCCTTCACTTTTGCACAAATTTTCTCTATAATAATGTCTGTTCTTTCAAACATTTCAGTATGAAGAGGTATATTATCACTGATTGACAAAGTCCTCCAGCTCTTCGAGAGAGAGCTCCACTAATTCCTTCCTTTGCGACATAGCTAGAATTATATTTGGCTTGTAATACTGCACACATGTAAATGTCCTTTCCTCCACTCTAACGTCTTGAACCACGTCGACGAAGAGCTCCTTTCTTAAGTAATACGTCCTGGACTGATCACAGTACACCAGCCACACAATGTTCTCCATGCACAAACTGAAACTGGCGCATAGTGCCACTCTGTGCCTCAGGTTTTCCCCAAGGTTTATTTTCTCGAATACCAGTTCTCTGTCTTTACCGTGCACCAGAATTACCGCGTTCGCGTGTTTCGTGAGAAGCAGCAGCCCCGTCACCTTGTCTCGCCTCTTCACAGGCAGGATGTCCACGATAGCGACGTCACTGGTGTAAACCAGCTGCACAGGGTACCGCTTCCTGTTCCTCAGCGCGTACAGCTTCCTGTCGTGCGCGACGACGCACCACCGATTACCCTCGGTCTTCCAGCCAGCAGTGAAACAGCTGACGAGCTGTGGCTCGGTGCTCGCCGTGTTCAGAGGAAACGTGCACACCGTCTCGCTCGCGTTCGGCACGAGGGGGAACAGCAGCGAGGAGGACTTGTCCAACTTGTTGTCGAGGTAGACGCAGTTGCTGTAAGCGACGAGCACCTGGAAATACTCATTGCCCATGTCCAGGGCCTTCTTGCTCAGGAGGGCGAACTTGCCGGACCGCAATATCTTGTAGGCGCCCTGCGGCGCGCATATCAGGAAGGCCCTGCTGCCGAAGAACTGTAGCTTTTTCCGGGCCCGGCGTCGTCAGGATCCGGGCGTCCCGCGTCGCCTCGGTCGATTCGTTATTCACATAGGGGAAGATGACGAGCCTGTCGTCGTCCCAGCAGAAACACGTCTCCACGCCGTAAAAGTCGCACACGGCGAAGTGCCTCGGCACGATGTCCTCGTCGTCGAGCACGATATACATCATACGGATAGAATCAACTCTTTAACTGCGGAAAAGGCGTATTTATATTCCAGGAAAAATTTTTATATATTACATATAAATTATGTCCATATATTTTCTTTTCTTTCTCTAGTATAATCTTTGTTCATCATATAAGAAAAAAATAGAAAGAAGAATTAAAAAATAATTAAAAAGATCATTTTTGCATTGTTTTTTAAATAAAAATACAAAGTTTGGGAAAATGAGAAAAAGTGCCTATATATATGTATAATTATATATACGTAATAATCGTATAATATAAAATATAATATTGTACGTATTTATATATAGAATATTATTTAATCTAATCGCAATTAATTTTACTTTTTGTAAAAATACAATGCAAGAATTATATTTCTAATTATTTTTCAATTATTCTTATTATTTTTCTTATATATATATCTATAAAAACAGAGATTGTATGTACAATAGAAAAAAAAACACATGTGAACATATTTCATAATTATATAGATATGAAAACATTTTTCTCGAGTATGTCGAGTAAGAAGTACGAAAGTACTAAGTGGAAAAAATAACCTTTTATATTTTTAATTATGAAAATGTGTGGCCGATTGATTGTTAATGAAAAAACCATATACACAGTGACTATATCCCCCATAAGGTTCTCAACTGAAGCGCATCGTAATTAGAGAGATAAAATTAAGATTTAAGCAGACAAGAAATGTAAAAATATATAATAAAATCCTGCGCATTAGACATACCTATGATTTATTTCTCCGCGTATCGCGTATGCATACGTTTATGCATATTTTATATGACGACTGTGCAAAGCGATAAATATCGTTTGATAAGCAACGATACCTGTGATCCCTAATCGTAATAAAAATCGTTTCCAAATCGTAATAAAAATCGTGTCGTTTTATGCAGGAGATACGAGAGACGATGAACGAGAAGCTTCAGAGGCTTCAGACTTCAGGCACCGCCAGAGGCGCCATCAGACACCCCGGCGCTGCCCGCGCTGCCGTACTGCCGTCTGCCGTACTTGCGCAGTAGCGTCAGCGTGTAGCGTGTATTCAGGGTCGTCGAGATTGCATTGCGATTTGCGATTCGACATCTGGTGAGAGGTTAAGTTTTGATGTCAGTACGTTAAATTATGAAATAAGAAATCGTGGCGTGGATGTGATTAATATATATAGCAAAATGGATCCGGCTTTACTCAGAGAGCGAGAGCAATTCAAGAAACGTGCTCTGACCACACCAGTGTGAGTATTTACGTTACTTTTTGCATCTATTGTTGTCGTACCCGTCTACCGATAGCATTACATATATTTAAGGCGAAATATTAGGAAGAAATAATAAACATTTATATATAGATGTTTAATTTTATGCAGATACCTTTATTTTATCTATCAAACCTTGTATCTATTAAGTCCAAGTACATAACCTATTATAGTATTATGATAGTAGTTTATCATATTATAATCATATCTGTAATATATATTATAATATTTGGATTATTTGCGCCAAAATATAAATATATTTCTGATAATGTGATTACAGAGTTGACAAGAAGAAGCAGGAGAAAGAAACAACGAAAGATGAGCCGCCAAAGAAGAAATTTAAACCATCGTTCGTATCTACAGGACCTAAATTGGACATGGTCAATTATAAAACTATGACTGGTAGTACGCAATACAAATTTGGCGTGTTAGCGAAGATAGTAAAACACATGAAAGCAAGGCATCAGGAAGGGGATGATCATCCGTTAACGTTGGAAGAGATTTTAGACGAAACAAATCAATTAGACGTTGGATCAAAGGTATCGTTTTCTATTATATTCCTATTTTGTATTGCTATTTGCTATCGAGGCAAACTATTTATTTTCCTTTTGTATACTTTCAGGTCAAACAATGGCTACAAACTGAAGCTTTAGTACAAAATCCTAAGATTGAAGTAACCGATGGTAGATTTGTCTTTAAACCTATGTATAAAATTAAAGATAAAAAATCCTTACTGAGACTTCTAAAACAGCACGATTTAAAAGGTCTCGGTGGTATATTACTGGAAGATATACAAGAAAGTTTGCCACATTGTGATAAGCATTTAAAAGTAAGTACAAATATGTAGAAACTTATTTCTGATCAATTCTGATTTCTGATTTAAAAAAATGCTAATATTCATATATTTCAGAATTTACAAAACGAGATATTGTATATTATACGACCGCTCGATAAGAAAAAGATTATTTTTTATAACGATAAGACAGCTCAATTCCCCATTGATGAAGAATTCCAAAAATTATGGAGAGCTGTTGCTGTAGATGCCATGGACGATCAGAAGATAGATGAATATCTTGAGAAACAAGGGATTAGATCGATGCAGGATCATGGGCTCAAGAAGCCAGCACCAATCAAACGAAAGAAACCTGTTAATAGAAGGAAACAATTTAAGAAACCAAGAGATAATGAACATTTGGCAGATGTTTTGGAAACATACGATGATTAAGAATTTCCTGATTATTCTGCCATATCAAATAAACTTACATAAAAATTATAAGAATAACTGAATGTAAATAAAGTAGGGATATTACTAAATTTGCTTCGTAAATATTATTCCAAGTAAAAATATTATGAAAAGTATCTTTACACATTTTCTTTTTTTTTGCCTGCGCGAATTATTACTACGTAACGCTACTTATATTCCAAATGTTCATTTGCACCATAATGACACCATAATAGTAAGTAAAATAAATTATTGTTTATCAGTAGCTATAATTTATTTTAGGCATATAATAAATAAGTAAACATTTATTATCATCTTACATTGTGTAAGTACAAGATAAATATAGAATTGTGTAAGTCAACACTTATATAAACTATATGTATAATTGATCACACACTCATTATCAGCCTTTTTTCTAAGAGACTGCTTGTTTAATTTGGTGGAATAGTAAAAAAGTTACAAAATATATTACTATTTTGTGTGATATAAGGATATTACAAAACCATTTAGAAATATTTTCTTTTTATATTACACCTTTCTCTGAACTTTTCTAATGCATTTTGAAACCGTAAGTTACGATTCAAGGAGTTTTTGTATAGATATATTATAAAAATTTGTACATATTCCATATTATTTAGTATGAATCCTACACTCTACAAATTAAAAACTGATACTTTCTTTGGTATTTCTTGCTTGGCCTTTCATTTATTACATGATAAACGACTATATTCCCGAATATCCTATATTCTTTTCACATTTTTCTTTAGATACAGTATCGATCTTTGATATTTTGAGGGATTTCTTTTTTCTTATAATATACATATATATATATATATATATATATATATATATATGAATGTTATAAGAAAAAAGATATATGCTTCGAATAACAATATTAATCTTTCGGTAAAGCAGAGTCACTTTTTCCTCGCGAATAAGCACGTGTCGCTTTACCACCGAGCATTCTGTCCAACAAAGATTGTTTGTTTCTTCTTCTAGCTGCGAGAACTTCTCTGCATAATTCGTGAAAAGATTCCGCGACTTGAGCAACCTATGGAAGTTTGTTTGAACATTTAGAAGAGCCCATAAAATATGAATAAAGCAATTTCAATGATAACTTATTAAAAATTGCAGTTACCTGCTCAGCTGCAGTTATTTCACTAAACCAGCATTCGAAATCCTTCGCTAATATCTCTCCCTCCTCAGTACTAACTTGTCGTAAATGAACCATATCAGCTTTATTTCCAACAAGGGCAAGAGGCATCGCAGCTTCGGGATCAGCTACTGCGAGAGCTTCTTTTGCCTTTCTGACAAAATTGAAAGAATTTCTGTCTGTTATCGAATAAACTAGTAACAAGCCGTCCGCTCGTAAAGTTTCCATCGATGGTAGCTCATTTTCACTCTAAAATATTAAAGTATCATATAAAAACTATTTATAAATTAATATATAATTTGTGAGAGATTTATTATATATACATAAATTACCTTTGGACATGTATCTAAAATCTCAAAAAGAATTGGTTCCCCGTCAACTAGTACCTCGTGTTTGTATCTGGTTTCTGGAAAATAAAATAAAATTCACTCTTAATATAAATATACAATATAACTATTATTTATAACACAAATACATAATTTTGTGTAATCTTAAAATCACGATTCTTTTTCTTGAGTTAGAATGTGCAGATTCTTCTTAAAAAGTTTTGAATTCTTTTTTTCTTTAAAAAGTTTGTAATCTGTAAAATGTTCATGTAAAGCCAATTTCACTCAAACAACTTTTCTCTAATTTATAGTCAATATCGCTTATTGTGTAATTGTCGATTTATTTCATGCGAATGCGATTGTTTCATTCAACCACAAAATAAAAATTAATTTAAGCGCGAAAATAAAAGCAAAATAAGCGATATTAACCATTTTTTGCATTGTTTATTACTTCTTGTCTTATTCATTAATTTATCTTTCAAATGATTAATAACACATCGTATTTTTTTCTTTCGTTTATAATGTATTCTAAAAAGTATTCTCAAAAACAAGATAAATGGTTTTGGTAGAGAATTGCTTTGTGATGATTCAAGCAAATATAATAGAAAATAAATTATTCGCATTTATTATGTCATATATACATATATTATTTTACACAATTAAGAATTTAATTGACTATACTGGCAATGATTATAATCGTGATAACGATTATAATCGTCGTGACAAATCGTCACCGAGTTTCGACCAAGGATTCTGGTCATTCTAAAGTTGATTGTAATTTTAGATGCTTATAATCCACGATTATAATTATTGCCAGTATAGTCAATTAAATTATTAATTGTGTTAATTATTGGCTGGCAAAGTAAATGTTACTTATTTGGTTTGAATATATTATTTTCTTATATATCTTATTCTATATTGTGTGTGCATAAAAAAGGAAATCTTCTCAGATTTGAATAGTTCTTTTCTTGAATTTGTCAAAAAGATTCGACGCGATTATTAATGTAAATTTCTATCATGAGAATATAGGTATAACAGAATAAATTTATGTATCATTAAGCAATTTCTCGGATCTGATTTACTTTGAGACGCTAAACACGGCACGTGTTTCTCTCCTGTCTACGACCGCGTCTGTATTTGTGCAAAACGAAAAATTTTGTTCGAGTATCAACCTCGCATTAGCACCCGTTCTGTCTAGTGTCAAATTCGTCTTCGATAAATTTAGAACGGACGCGGACTAAGGTATGCAGAGGGAGAATATACTTACGCAGCCTTAGAAGCGGATTATATACAGTTGCTGGCAATTTTTCAAACTGACGCGCTATTCTATTATACATATACTTTGTCGCACATACGCTAGTTTTGTAAGATACACGAGTTAACAAAAAATCGGTAACAAACGCGTCAACTTTATGATTATATTAGAAATCTAAATATTTTAATCGTCTTTCTAACTGAGAAGCTCAGCTAAAACTATTCTTAAAATGCGACATGATTTAACAAAGAAATCTTCAAAATTAATTTGATATTTGTAACGTCACATATTATCTTTATGATGCTAACGAATCTGCAGAATGTGGAAAATAAAGCGCGGTAATAGCTTGTTCATTGAATCGATCTGCAATATAAGGAATAGCACATTTATTTTATTTTATATAAACTTTAAATATTTTGTAACAAATTTTCAACGACGAATTGACTAACGTAATACAACGCTCGGTAGGCGTTGTTTTGCAGCATAAAACGTGCCACACGCATACACAAGGTCGGCGCGGCCGCGACGCCAAGTCATTGTATTATCATTCGCACGACGGCGCTCGAACAAACAGGTAGTGTCGCTCCGTATATATATATCGTCTCGTATTCCATCCCGAAATGCGATTGTTTCTTATGAACGATTATATTAGCTTTCATCGGTTCGTGTAATTACTTTCGCGTAGCGTCTTACTATTTCTCAAAACGCGATAAAGCACTAATTGTAAGAGCAAATGCGATCTCTGGATGATTAGAGATTTGATAACGCAAATATAATATAATATATGCTGTGATATATCATTTGATTTTGCATTTATTTCGAAATGTATTGCACGTGCAATATTAAATTCTGATTTTAAGTTTACAGATTCGATCGGATTCGATGAATTATAATTAGTCATTAAATTGAACAAAACATCGCGACAACGGAACGAATCGACTTCGAGTCGAGTGGCGTTGCGAATTTTTTGGATTAAAAAAAGAAAGAGAGAGAAAGAGAGAGAGAGAAAGAGAGAGTGTGTGTGTGTGTGTGTGTGTGTGTGTACTGTAAGATTAAACCGAGATTAAAGTTAATCATCTGCATTGATGGAAACTGGACATTGATGTCGTTCTTCAATATTTATCAATCCCTTAGAATTCGGTATCCTTATAGATATGTATATCGGAGCTTTAATAAATTGCATATATATCGAGAAATACATATGTATATTCTATATTAAAACCTGGCGTGTTAACAATTAATCGATAAAATAATCATCTCTTATGGAAAAATACTACAAAAATATTACAGAAAGACTATTTGCAAAAAAGTACAGGAAACTATAGTAAATATGACAGTAATTATTATAATTTTTTGTATGCTTTTTTCGCATTTTTTCGCATACAGTAGCTTTTTCCATATTTCTTTAAATATTACATTCCGCAGACATTTGCTTTTTACTTTAACTCATACGTTTATTTACTTACGTTGTAAAATGAGACAATAATCGCCGGAAGAAATGCGAAAAGATTTATTATTAAAATGCGAAAGAGTATCGAATATGTAGCGTCGCCGCAGCGGGTGCCGCGTGAAGTTAACCGCGCGTTTTACGAATTTGTTCCGCCATTTTAGGCTCGTCCACTACTTTACTTTGCGCGACGTCGCGTATGTCAAACGTATCGTAGCATCGTTCGTTAATTTTCCTCGCGTCACTCCTCTGTCAAAACGTAACACAATACGTGCCGCGTGTGTAAGACCGTGTTGATTAACGTCAAGAATGCCGTGCAAGGTTTCGTACGTGCGAGTATCACGTTTCAATGATCCGCGCGCGCGATCCTAACCATGTTTTCGCGAGTGAGCTCCAGTTTAACGTCGGGAGTGCCGCGTAAAGTGTCCCGCGATCATCTTTAATGGTACTCCGCGAATGAGTTGTGACTTGTGTGAATGCCACGAAGAAGACATGAGAGGAGAAGCAGGCCTGGGAGGCATCGGGCATCGGCGGAGCAACCGGAGTAGGTGAGTAACTTAATATAATTCATTATACTTATTACTTATTACTAATAATTAATATTTAATGTTTAATTAACTTAATACTTTCTGATTAACTTATTATTAATTTATTCCCGCGATAGTCGTATGGTATATTCCGAGCGTCAATATATGTATAATATTATTCATTGTGCTGTGCAAATAATGTGTAGACGTGTCTTAACGCATTTACCATACATGACAGTGACTGACATTGATTTTGAGCTTTCCATTTACGCCTTGTCGGTCATCGGTGACTGTCATGGAACGACAGTCAAATAAATACGTCACGTATTATATTTTTACGCAATTCAAAACTATATAAATTTACTATTAATTAAATGTTTCATTGTTCTTCTTATATTGTTAGTATAAAATAATTTAATTGGCGTGAACGAAAAATCATGTAAAACACGTTTGGCGGTGAATGTGTTAAATCGTGTTTGCGCTTACTCGATCCTAAGTAAGCGAGAGAGTACAAACAAACACGAATGATCAACTATCCGCATCAATGAGTTCGAATGGCATTTACAGGATAGCGGCACTATTTGCGTTCATTGAAGCAGATTGTTCATTCATGTTTGTTCGCCGATCGCTTGCTCTGAATTCTAAATATATACATGTATTTAACACTGGAACAACTCCCAAAAGGTGACTGACCCAAAGGGATCAAAATGAAATGTTTGACATTTTTTAAAATAATTATTACTTATTTTGAAAATATCTTAATTTCTAAGAAATTTTCCTTGACTTTTATTGATACAGATAAGTATTTTCTCTTTGTCTCTTTCTTTCTAAGATTTCTAGTTAGTAGTAGTCTTATTTCGTAGTATATCTAGATTCTATAGATATATTATTTTGACCCCTCATAAAATGTCGGTAAAATTTGATTGATTACATTCGCATTTCAGAGGTTTCTCATAAACTCTTAGGATTCTTCCAGGACTGGAAGTAAATCCATCTCAGTATAATACATAAAAATCTTACAAAATACGTCATATATGCAATGTGTGCAATGTGAGTAAACTATATTGCATCTGAATAGTTATTTGTGTAACAAGTGAGGTAAGATGAAAATTCCCGGGTGCGGAGTTTACGCACGAGCCGAAGGCGAGTGCGGTAACCGCACCCGGGAATTTTCATCTTTACACACGGCTTACACTCCCTATTTTATGTTGCAAGTGCCTGGAAAGTGGTCTATCACGCACGCGTAGCGTGCGTAATGGGGCACTTTCCATGCACGTGTTGCATAAATGTATTTTGTCACATGTATTGCTGTGACATAATACGTAATATGCAAGGTGTAATATGAACAAACTATTAGGTCCAGTTCCACAAACGTCGGTTAACTTTTAATCTTAGATTAACTCACTCTTTGTCTCCTTCTAACGTCCCCCTTAGAAAGAGACGAAGAGTGAGTTAATCTAAGGTTAAAAATTAACCGACACTTGTGAAACTGGGCATAAGACATGTATTGTTATTGTGCTAGTTTACAAGAAAAAAAAAATATGACGAATTAATACGGAAGATAATGGCCACTATATATTGCACATTGCTTCATATGCGACCTGCCTTAGAAAGGTAGAGACAGCAAGAGAGAGAGAGAGAGAGAGAGAGAGAGAGAGAGAGAGAGAGAGAGAGAGAGAGAGAGATGTGCAAATAAATAAGCGTAAAACAAGTGTATTCGTAACTGGTGTCAAGTTCTGCTCCATCACAAAATTATAGCTTGCTTTCGAGAAATAACTGATTTCTGAGTTGCTAAAAAGTAAAATATTAAAATCTATATTTCAGTAGAAGGAATTTGAGACGCACAAATCACAATTTAGAATTGCATCTCATTGACAATGGGATATAAATCTTACAATTAGTTGTAACCTTTTTATTTATATATAATTTTTGAGATTGCAATTGATTTCTTCCAATATAAAGGTAATTTTTCAACAAGCATATTAAAATGCAAATATACATTTATAAATAATTTTATCCGTAGTAACATATGCTTTTTTCATATTTTTGTTTTCTTACAAGTAAGGAAGATGTTATGTATCATTTATTTTTTAAGAATAATAATCTTATTTCGAATTTCTCCTGAATCAAAATGTAAAAAAAATCTATAATCTATGCATGCATTGAATATCGTGTTTTTTCGAAAACAAGTTATTTTTTTAGGTAGAAATAGGTATTATAGGTTAATCTTCGGTAGTTCTAGTGTTAATATGTTTAAGATTTATAACGATTTGCATTGTTGATATAAAAATAAGATTTTTGTTTTTTAAATTTTGGAAAACATTATTTGCATGATATTAGTCCTTTTCAGAAATTAGTTATTTTGTTAAATATTTCTAAATAACAATAAGTGAAATAGAACCGATATAAATCTTACAATTAATTAAAGAAGATGCCATTTTCGGTCGGGCTAAATCTTGATAGCCTAATAATAATATTTTTGTATGAATTTTGTATACCTTTTCCAATTTAATAAGCTGCTCATTGATTATTTGTCGATCTTAAAACACAGCTTTTTGTTAGAAAAATAAATCCACTTAAAATTAATAATAGATTTAATTTTTGATGCTAATAAGCATTCTATTTAAATCACTGTAAAGAATTTATTGCTAAAAATATTACCTTATTAAAAAAAAATACAATTAAAACATCCGACGCGTACATCAGTAATTATTTTTAAAATATTAATTATTGAGCGCTATTGTAATTTAAACATATTTATGTTTTTCAGATCAAAGTTTGTGTTACAACTCCGCTGCTGCGCATCGTATCTATGTAAGTTAATTTATTTTTTATTTTACCTTCAGATAAGGGATCTGTGAAATGGATCTAAAAATCATTATTAATACATTTATTTATATGTGAAATGTCAAACAGAAAGTGGAAAATCAACCATATCTTTTATTTCATAGATCCATTATTTTAAAATTAATGGCCTTATATGACATGTCAGGAAAAAGGACAAAAACGATAGAAAATATTTTGCAAATACAGCAAACACGATAAAAAAGTAATAAATAATGAATAATGATTTTTGTAAAACAGAATTTGTTTCAAATTTTGATAAAAACATTTCTCTTACATACTTTATATATTTTTTACCGAGCACTCTACGCATAAATAAGATATATTTAATAAACGCGTTGTTTTTTTAGAGTCTTGATTTAAAAGACTCGCACTTCGACAACTTAGCTCGACGTTTTTTTTAATGCAATTTTCCATCATATTTTTGTATTGTAATAGACATTTTATTTACGCTGATTTATTTAAACTCATTTTATTTACCTACTTAGTGATACAACAATTTGGCGCGTATACAGAGTGTCACGATACCTACAACGCGGCCAAGTTACATCGTGTTAAGTCGCTAACAGAAACCGCGAACAGAAATATTTGCGTACCAGTTTAAGTCCAATAAATCGACAGTTATACCGACGTATAATACGATACGCATCGGAACGATATTCATGGCGGTATTGGTAACTGCATATTGACAGTCATTAAATGTGCGTTAAACGTATGTTTCCACTTTAATTATCGTAATGAAACATGAGGCCGTCGAGGAGAGAAAATAGAAAACAGAAAGATAGGGTAGTGAGAGACGATAGAATACTAGAGAGAGAAAATTGCTCGCAAGATAATCGTGCAATATTTGAATGGCGAATAATCGTTTCGCTTCTCAGCTGTGATTACTGTCTCACAATTAATCTTTAATTTAAATGTGATTTTCAATCCGTTCGCGTCTCAAGATACGAGATTATACTTCCAAGTGTCTCACCCGATAAACAAGACTTTTGAGACAAGTTTCAAGTAACTATAAATATACGGGCCTAAGACCTTTCTCACCTGATTGATGATCGTATTCCCCGATGTATCTCCTCGTCAAAAATCTCACTGTCAATGCTGAAACATAATGGAAATATATACTGCTCGCGTATGCAGTTCAAGCGTGACATAATTATGTTGTACGCGGTATAATTGAGTTGGCAAACTATAATGACAAGCTACTCGCGCAACGTCGCGTCTCGAATTCGTATGCATCGCAGTGATCTACATTTCGTCCGTTTGTTACAGTCGCATCTATTTATGCAAGAGAAAAGCAACACGAAAATACTCTCGCTCTCGGTGTCATGATTGTTGTGCTATAAACTATATTTAATATCTCTAATATTTAACCACACGTTGCAAATTCAAGAAACTAGGAATTAGTAAATTGAATCTATATAACTAACTCTCTTGTATAATTATTTCCAACTGCGCAGCAGAAGAATTCATACATGCATTATGAAGTTATATTTATATATCATATATACATTTATATATAATATTATCTAATTTTTATTTAATATAACCATAATGTTACTTTAATGTAAATTTATATGACTCGTGTAACTCTTTTCATGTACTGGAATTTAATAAAAAACCGAAATTAATATTTTATCTTTATATGAAATATATTTTCTCATTGTTCCAATACTGGACGTAACAGTTTTCAATTGTAAAAAAACTTGCAAGATCCGTAACTGGATCTGACAAATAGAAATACATCTAGACGAAACGTTCACTGTTTCTACGGCACTTAATCTTCGACGCTCTATTGAAGCGATGTTCGTTCCATTAGTCTCAATGTTTTGCGTGAAAGTGATGAAAAGAGGTTGATCTCGCACTGACACATGATCTTCTCGATATGATACTACAACTGAACATATTGCGATTCAATCGGGAGAAACGAGAGCTACAACCTAGTGACACGCTTCGAGGTATATACCACACTATTTTTACCACGAACTCGAATCTACCACGGCGCCACAAAACCTTGCGCGATGCATTAACGCCACCGTAGCTTATTTCATTTTGGACGCGTGTGGTAAATACATGTACGGTAAATACAGTAAATACTTTCTTTTCGAATACGAAAACCGCCGGTTTACATCGGTTCGAGTAAGGTCGGCAAACAATCCAAGTTTAATTTTTTGACTGTAAAGTGAACGTTCAGCAAAATTTATAAATTAATATAAATTGGACAATTTACTATTAAAAAAAAAATAATAATAAAAAAATGGAAAAAGGCAATTTTTTAGCCAAATTAATTTAGTTCAATAAATTTGTTCGTTTATAAATGGATTCGTGCAAATATTGTATATATAAACTAAACTAAACAAATATACAAAAATTCTATGAGTGTACATAGATATTAAAATTTGTGTAGGACGTATACCTATATATCTCTGCCTGAAATATATTGTCTAAAATATAGGTCGATTTTTTGATCGACACGGGCACGTGGATGTTTCGAAGGACAGCTAATTTATTAGCGATTGGTTTATTTGCGTTCGAAATTTATGGACCAAGATCATTGAGATGCCTCTTCGTTTCTCCTCGCTTTAATTCCAATGTTATTAAAAGTTTAGAATTTAGCTCTAAATTCTTAGACACATCGAATTTTCTTAACAAATCTTGTTACAAAAATAAAACAAAAATTAGAAGCAAAACTTAAAAAATCAAAATAGTAATTCTCAATTGAAAACAGATAAATAATGAAACAAAACAAAGAGAAATGTGAAAGATTTTCGAAAAAGAATTTAAAATATATCTGCAAAATTAGAACGATATTTTTGAATTATTTTTGTGTTTAGATATTGTCCATTTAATATAAAATACATTATTATTCTATTCTTTATTCACATCGCACAATAAGCTATCAGAGAAAATATCTTCTACATGCTATTACGATATCTTTCAGATGTTTGGGTTGCTTGAAACGTAGAAGAAATAATATTTTCTCGATATAAAGTTTCGATCATAAAGGAATGTTATGGAAAGCATGACGAATCAAAACTCGATGAAGATCCAAGGCGGATTTTGAAGTAAAATTTTATAAATAGCAACCACGTATTTTGCAGCCAACAGAAAAGACGCACAGTTCTGGCGAGGACGGACCAATTATTTATTCATCTATGCCTTTACACTTGCCATTACCAAAAATACACGCGGTTAGCTACTCTCAGGGTCCTCAACGCATATCTCATATATGTATGTATCTTCATCACGTGGAATGGATGGAACGTGATTCTTACGTGCTACTTGCATGCGTACTTGCACTTGACTTTAGAGTGTCGATCGTTTACTATACAAGATTATTATTATTATTTTTTTTAAATATACATCTCCTCCTCTATACTTTTGTTCTCTCGTTCTTCTCTTTGCAATTGTTTGTTTGCAGAACAACAGCGCGACTTCCATGCAATAATGCAGTGTGTAATAGATTTTGTTCTTAATGAGAATTAGAAGAATTAGAGCGTAGCTGCGCGAAAGTATTTCTCAAAGTTTGCTATTAAAATGTTTTTTGATTGACGTAATTAACTTTTATATTAATGATTAGAGCTAGGAAACGTTTGAAAATTGTATTATAGTTAAATAGAAAATCATAAAAGACTGCAAGCATAACTTTGGAATGTGGAAATTCTTTTGTGAAAATTTTATTTTTATTATTAATTTAATTGCTCTATAAGAAATAGCAGTCCGTTTCTTGTTATGCAGTGATTGCATTCTTATTTCTTGATGTATAAGAAAGATACGTTTCATGGAAATTCTATCTTTCTCGTCACGTTAATTTTAATTCATGGCACTTTTACTTTACAATTTTATTATATTAATATTAATGTTTGCATTAATATGGAAAGCTCAATTATGTTTTAATGTGGATTTATTATGGAAGTTTTGTTTTATCGAGATATATTCACTTACCGCTTTTGCCAACTCCTGGTGCTCCTATCACAGCCACCTTAACTTCGCACAGCGAACTCTTCTTTCTTCTGATGCCTCTGATCGCATTTGACGTCATACTACAGGCATTTGTCACTGTAGAAAAATAAATTAAAATAATATTGAGATTATTATACGAAAAATCTGACAAATCTAAGAGAGTTCTTAAATGCATATTAAATTATTCTTTGCCCAAGCAGAGTTTTTTTATCGACACGGACGATGAAAGATAAAGAATGATCTCAAAATATGAAAATAATTTTTAATACTTTGCTCTTACAAAACGAAAAATATTACGCTTCTATGAAAAGAGTAAGTAAATTTGTAAATTAATAGCTATTACCTACCATAAATTTAAAAATTTACATGCATTAAAAAATTGATTTGATTGAAGGATTACTCGCGTGTTTTGTACTTATTAAAGCTTGGTCACGAGATTAGTACTCTGTTGTTTTTTTGGATTACCGAACTCTATTTATCGGGTGTTCCATTTCCTCTAGAGCGCAATAAAAAAAGCGAAAATTTTTACGGCACTTAGTGGCATCCGCCGCTTGTTTCTCTTTGGGCGCGTGTTTGAATAAGTCGCGCTACACTTCGAAAGAAGGTGGGAGCAACACGAACGCCTGTCTAGAAACGAGAGAAAGAGAGACAAAGCGAGGAGCGGATAAGAAGAGAAGGCAAGATGTGACGGGTACATTAATAGAACGGTTTGCACACACATGTTCCGTGGAATCTCGGGAATTTCTTCCACTGTCTAACAATGTACCGGGGTTACGAATATCGGACGCGATGATAATGCGGTTTATTACAAAATTTCCATGTAATCTCGTGCGCGATGACGTAGATTCAACGTCGCCTCTGAATTCATTAAAGTCCACAGCGACTATTTAATCGATCATAACATATTTTTAATTTATGATTGGTAAACAGTTAATAAATCTCCGAACAGCTGTATGCGGAACTGAAAGTGCGCCAAATACTTTCCTCTTAATCTCTAAAACGTTAAAGTATGCACCGATGTATTTAACGACACATTTTCCTAAATGAATGCACGTTAATGGGTCTTGGAACATTTCATCGCGCAACAAAGTAGACGCATAGCGTAGATATAAATAGGTGTCGTAAAAATATAATATTTAACACAAGTAAATGTACTTTTTCGCCGAGTACTTTCACCCTTTCATTGTATAAATGTGGAACATTTCTTAATCTGTTTTTCCATTTATTTTAATATTTTACAATGTTATGGCATTACTTAATAGTATATGAAAAAAGCTATCATAGATTTAAATAATAAAACTATAAAATGAATAAAATATAATTGAATTATTTTTCACGTTTAGAAAAACTCTACTCTTAAACTATTACATTCTTAAACTGTGTTAAGCTTTATACTGTCTGGTATCATATAAAGATATACATGATTATTTGATATGTGATGATTTCGATACATGCTCATCTTTTTCATCGATGAAAAATAAAAATACAATATTAGCAGCCTATAAGCAAATATATGCTATACCTATTGTAACTATGTATGTGTAACTATACATATTTAAGGTACTCTGGAACTTACCGAGTCAGCTAAAATATACTCCGCTACAACACCGGTACAACACTATTGTTTTATTGTTCCGCTTTACACGCTCTACCGGTTCATATCGCGATCAAAGTGTTCGTCGAATAAGGAATGCATAGCTCTAAAATATGCTCTTGAATATGAAATATAGAACGTTTGCAGAATTACCTATTGACAATTAATTTTGAGGCTTAAGATCAAAAGATTGTACGCGCGCGATGCAGACTTGCCACTGGCGATAGGGCATAGCAAATATGTTTGCCTGATCGCGCGATTGAATCATAAGGAGACGGAAGAAGATAGATCGATTGATAATCGCGCGTCTGCCACGTGAACGGCAATAGTTTCGTTCGAATTCGCGGCTTCGTGAACCACCGCGGCTCTTGGCCTCAGCGCGACTGTCTCGTCCCATTCTCTTCTGGCGGCTCGCGAGGCCCGCCGGTTCCCTTATTGCTCTTAAGCCATGTACATGCGGTACCCGCTTCCGGTACAGATGTGCGCGCAGACGAAGGTCGAGATTCGAAACGGCCGATGTCCCTCCGAGCCTCACGTACATACGTGATGTCTTCGCGTCAAAATAAAATTAAAGTGGACGTGCGCGGAAAATCGGGATGTAACCAATGTTTCCTAGAAACGCGGAAATACTTCGCCAAATACTGATTAAATCACGATTAGTGATGATTATAAAAGTCATTACATCAAATTACTTTTAATAAATGCTATATAACTGCTGAGGCAACTAATTTAATAATTATAGAGTATTTTTTACGAATATGTTAATTATCTTTTTATAAGGATTTATAGCGAATAAAAATCTAGCACTATAAACATTTTTTCAAGTTTATAAGTGGCTAAACACATTACACTTTTTTGGACGCAAGATTTTCTATTTAATAATAAAATTATTAGATGTATATGCGTGGATATATGCATAAAATGAATATTGCAATATAACTTATATTTTATTATATTATTAGAGGTATGGAAATGAAGAAAAAAAGAAATACATAAATTTATTCTAAGCCCTTGCAAATAACATAAAAAAAGATATGTCAATGAAAGTAATTGTTGCTATGTAAAAATCGATAAAATACTGTCGTTGATTAACAATTTACTATGATAAAATTATCTTCCTGTCACACTGTTGAGGTAATAATATAGATCTCTGCGTTTATCGACTGCTTTATACTTTACTGCTGCAGATACAATTCGCTCGTTTCGGGGAGCCACATGTTGGTGGACTTGAAAATTTCTTCCTTTCCGACCTCATCATTTTGTTCTCGGTGTCGTCTCGATGCCTCTGGACAACCACCAAACAACCAGTTTACAACTCGCAGCAAAACTAGTTTGATTCGATCTGAATAACGATTTAATTAATTTAGTAGTTTTCTCAATATTAAATATTGCAATTAAATATTGCTATAATAATTATTATAATTGATCATATCTTTTTAATAAACATTTCCAATAAATTTTTGCATTTTAACTTTGTAATTAACGTATCATTTACGGGAAAGTTATTACAAAAAATTATATGTGAATACAAGAACGTAAGAATATAATAATTTTTAAAATTAAAAATATATATATTACAATTTATAATTGTTTTTTTGGAAATAAAAAAAAAGGAAAGAAGAATTAAATTTGTTTTAAAAATTGCATATTAAATATTTCCGCGCAATAATCTGGGAATAGAGTATATTATTCTTTTTTTTATCAGATTCTATTATTACATACCTTTTGTAATCGATGAATTTTCATAACATTCGTGAGTAAAACTCTTTATATCTTGAAGAAATCGACGGCTTTCTTTTCGAAATTCATCATGTAACTCTCGCTTTGTGAATAATTTCTCTATACGTAGTAAATTGTTAATCTATTTTTATTATGTAACATACGCGCAAAATAGTGTAAATTACCATAATGAGGATCCACTGGCTTGTTCATAATTCTTGTCGTGCAATCTTTATTTAATGGATGTTGGGAAGCAATTGTAACTTCCTCTGAAAAATTTCTGAAATGCTTCTGAAAAATTTAATTTTAAGTAAATACATATTAGCATAGGTAATCCTGGTAATCGATCTGAAAATAATTATTATATTTTGTAATTTCTATGTAGGCTCTACTACAATAAATTAGACAGTTAATCTACTATAACAGTTTACAATTTCAATCGTTATATAATAACGTAAAATTTATGTAATAGATATTTATACAAAATAATATTATATTACAATATAATATATATAACGCTTACATATGACCGTATACACATATACATACCATACCATCAACATTTTGTTTATTCTGTAATTTTTCAGTATCAGTATCGATATCGTCGCTTACGTTTTCTTGTTTTTGAGATATAGTCTTGAATTTTCTAAAACATTATAATAATATTTAAAAAAATTTTCTCTTTTATAAAGTCCTTGTTTGCTTTTCTGCAGTTATCATCAGTGTGTTATAATTTACTTGTTCAAAGAATGAACATAATTAATTTGTTCTAAATTATCGAAAATTTTCGTCATCAGTAAATTATTACTAATATAACTATATTTTTGATAATCACTCCTTTCGTACATCAGTTTATATTTGTCATTTTTATCAATAATTTTTGAAATTGTGTGTTGGAATCTGAATCTTAATTCTTACCGCAAATCAGTATTATTTTTTAATTTATCCGCCGTAATTGTATATGGTATGATTTTCATTTCTGGAGAAGTATTCTGTGGAATTATCACATTGTCTTTTTCGCATTTCTCATGGATTATCGTTATCTGTTGTGGGTTGTTGCTACAAGTATTGATATATTCTTATTCCTATTGCATATATATTCCGTAATAATGAATTATATTGTATTATATATATATATATATATATATATATATATTGTATATATTATATATGTCTTGATGTAAGAATTTATGCAATGCAATATAATTCGTTATTTTCAATATAGAAAATACGTGCTATCAAATGCACGTGCTTGATCATTTGCACTCTCCATGTATCAGCTAAATGACATTTTAAAGGTAAAGTACGCAAAAGATCAAATGGTGATTTGGCGGCACATGTCTTATCAAAAATATGTAATTTTCAATGTGTTGAATTATTTAATTTTGTCAGAAATCTGACAATAATATACATAATTATATAAGTCGTATAAAACAATTGTATTTGATATGACATACTTACATGGTTGATACTATCACTGCATCGGATTCCGGTAATACATCGTTGGTCTCATTTCGATGACGATTGTGTCGATGACGTTTCCCATCACAGTGCTTTGTGCGATGTTTCTTACTTTTGTGTTTTCTACGAGATGCTTACACATTATTTATTTGGACATTAATCTTTGCGGCCCGTTAATATTTGCATAATGATGCATAAATAAACCCGCATCTTTTATGGAGATCGTGCTTTTGTAAGTTAATAGTCGCTTTAGTTCATAAATAGAAGGGATAAAATATCTATGCAAAAATATAACTGACCTTATCGATTTATGATTACCGTTGTCGAAGTTCGTCTTGTTACTGTATTTTTGTCCATAATCCTTTGTATCTTCTTCGTATACTTTTCGATATAGTTCTTGTATTCTTAGCTCTTTATTTTGATCATTTTCGTCTCTCCCTTTAATCTTTTCGTGTTCAGTTTTGTTTGTATTTAAGATAAATTTCAATCCGTTTGCAACAGTATCTATTAAGATGCAACATGCTTTTCGAGCATCTAAAAAGACATGTATTAATATAATATAATATATTTACCTATAATATATAATTTATTTACATTTTACATATTATAAGAATTTGAGTCTAGCCACATGAATTCAGCGCAAGTCACTTTATTCTTCTTTGTGATTTAATAATATATAAAGAAAATTTAGCAGAAGTAATTTTGAGAGTTCTGAAAAATTTTCTTTTTTTTATTTTAGCTTAAAATGAAATATATCGAAATGCTTGAAGCAGATATTATTACTACTAAAACTGTATAAACTGATCTGTAATGTATCTTATTATTTTAATAAATCGCGGAAATTTACGGTTAGAAAATATTCTTATAATGCGATATTATATTAAATTTTAATTATGTTTAAAAGTCAATCAAAAATTACAAGCGATAATAAAAGTTTTTTTTCTCGTTTTCTCTCTCTTTCTTTCTCTCTTTCTTCTCTTTCTCTCCTTTCACTTGACATTTTTCCTTTTCCTACTTACATGAACGTGACTTGGGCACGTAATACAAAACGACGCCACACAACATTAACGCGATTAACGAGAGTCGCTTCAGGTAGATGATCCACTCAAGCACGCAGAATTTCTCGTCGAAATAAGCTGATGAGTAAAGAAGGAAGTTATTTGGTCGACGAGAGAGGACATCACTTTCTCTTACCGTATCCATTCCGCGATTTGGCGTACACGCATTGCGTAGCAAACGCGACGATGAGAACTAGAAATTTCACAGTAGATGTTAGACGCATTTGTTTAAGTATTATTTTTCATTATTATATTCCAATCGTTAATCAAAACGTTCCGGAAGAAAGAGAAAAGAAAGAAAGAACTTGAGTGACACACGCGTTCTGAAGCGATGTCCGTTACAGCGTAAGAGGCAATTTCACTTCGTTTCAAGCATTTCCAATTATGTCCACGCTTACGCCTTAATTATCGCTTGATGATCGTAATGGCTAATATGGCGATAAGGCAATTATCGCCAATAGTTATATCACGCACATTTTTATACGGGATTTTCACTTCATAATTATACAGAGACGTGTCGCGTAAAAAGATAATAACACGTGTAAGATTCATATCTTAATTTTTTATTATGCTCTGAGTACTTTACAATATAATACAAAGGAAACAAGTCATATGTATTGACCGTCTTCACTACAATCTAACGAGGGTGGGTTACACGCACGTACACGTACGAGAAAAATATATCATACGGGTCGGTGCGATTGGAATAGCATAGCGTGCGCAAGCGGGGACTCGCACTACTTGCTAAATAGTATCTTTCTAAAGCAACGTTTGCTTCGTGACTTCCGAAACTGTTTGGGGACTGTAGTCTCCAAACAGTTCGATCGGGCAAGAAGCGATACAGCACCTAGATGCGGACTATCTAAGTAAGAACACAACTTAAAGATATTCTTTACGAAATACTGTTTAATTCGATGCAGGTAGATTCTAAATTAAGTGCGACAAGCCGATAAGAATATTCGCTGAACGCCCACTTCTTATCGGCTAGTCCGGGAGAAAACTGTCCAACGACTCCACACAGCCGCCGTATGACAATTAATCCGCGAAAGAAGAGAATACTGTACGCTCACATTTGAACAACAAATTCTATCGCAATGAGGAATCAATCCCGCGAGTTCTATAAGTTCTACAAGACTACGATAACTCTCTTAGCGACAACCATCTCGCGTTATAACTTGTGCTAAATGTAGACTGCACTATCGAAATATCGGGGCAGATGCCAGTGTTTGCTGGATTAAACAAATTAATTTATAATAACGTAATAATACCCTATTATATAATAGAATAGAACGAAATAATAATAATTAATAATCAATAAAATAATAATAATGTGAGAATCTCTCTCATACGCGTGTACGCGCAGCTATTGGTAAAAAAGCAAATGCTATTTATTCGAAGATAACCTTGTGATATGTATTTCCGCTTATTTGGCAAAAATACTCTCGAGGACAAGAGATTGCACTGTCACGAATTACTTAATCCACAACATGATTCATTATTCAAGTCAATTAAGTTGTATGATTGTCTTGACGGAATATCTATAACACAATAGATATACGCAATATAGGCTGACGTTTACGTGGCATCAAAGATTCACTCTTTACATGGCATAATCAGCGCGCGTACACGCGTATAACAACGCAAATGAACGATTTTATACACGAAATGAGGGACGAGTAACGCGATAAAAATGATAACGATGAAATGACGTGCTCCACCGAACCTGGAAGCTGAAGCCTCGATGGAATTAATAATGTTTTTCTTATTTAAAACAAATAAATCTTTCGCAATCAAAACAAATAAAATCTTATAACTTTCTTAAAATTACTCGATCGAACACACACTAATACGCCTTCAAAATATATCATTAAAAGACTCATTAAGCTCTGTTACAATTACTAGGAAAAACGTTTTTTTATAGTATAATTATTATTAGCTGTTATTTGAGAGATTGTCGAAAATTATTGTCATCAAAGAGTTCAAGGATTAATTGGCTAAATACATGAACAATTTCGAGGTTCGATGGTTTGCAAAAGGAATTAACCGATTCGGTAAACGAAGACGCGGTAGTTCTCATTCTTACGCGAAGTGTCTCGCTTTCATTTTGTTGACAGCATTTGTAAGGTGGGTCATCTCGGTATTGAGTTGGGACATCAGGCCCTCCAGTCTATCAACACTGTCGAGGACTTCGATGCGTTGCGTATGCGGATTGAACCTGACCTCGAATGGCCGGCTCATAGTGGCCACCTGTAAGAGAAACCAAGGTTCGTGACTAAGCTCACCTACCAAAGTGAGAAGTAACAGATAACGGAAGTGAACAGGCTACTAGTCTTTATTTGTAATAAATAAAAATTGGAAATATTGGAGTAATCAAGAATATACAAAGAAAAAACTATTCTACTTTGATTCTCTATTATTTTCGAGTTTGTCAATAAGTACATAGCGAAAATTAAATTTACCGAATTTTCCTTGGCAAATTCCAGAAAAGAAATCAAATTCCATTCACAGATAATGCTGGATAACTTTTTCGTACTTACCCAACGACGGAATTTCTCCTTGGCATCCTCGAAACTCTCGGCCACGTAATATATCGGCTGGTATTCTTGATCTTGATACTTCTGGAGAGCGGTAATTGATGGGTCGAAAGCTCGATGTTCGCATTTATCGCTCAATGCGTGCAAGAGCTCGCCGTAGGCTGACAGCAAGCCAGCACCGTAAGCTTTAACTTCGGGACCTTCCTTACAGAGACCGAATTCAATCGTGAACCAATAGATAGTTGATAGCTTCTCGATTTCTTCATCCGAAGCACCGAGAGATGCCAGTCCAATTTCTTGCGAAAATTGAGCGAAACCGGGATCGGCCAGAAGCGGCATATGGCCCAAGAGCTCATGAATGCAGTCTCTGCAAATAGAACAGAATAAATTTAAAGAATAATGCCACATGCTCGTCTTACGCGTCCTTAAATTTGTCCGTTCTATTTCTCCGTTTCGTGCTTAAATTTATCACTTTTAGTTAATTTTAGAGATTCTGAATCAAATTATTGCAATCTGCAATATTTAAGTGCGTAATTTTACATCAGTAGGATTTTAACTGCATTAAATAAATTGAACATTCTAAAATTAATTAAGATACGTCATCACGATAAATGGCGCGTACTCAAGAAGCCATTCGGTTCTTACAATCTCTCTGCAAAACTATACCTACAGTTCTTGGAAATCATAACTGTGACGTGGATCGCTACACGGAGAAACGAGTTCGTAACTGTGGAACTGAGTTATCAACGCCATCGTGTCGTTAAAAGCCAATTAGAGTTCCATTACGAGCTTAGAGAGGCGCGGTAATTCTATTATCATCGTTCTCTGTGTACCGCGGGTGCAGGTTCCCGTCATAACGCAATATCGATTGCCGTGCCAGTTTGACACGAAGGGGCAGCTGTGATGCGGAGCCAGTGCGACCTTTACAATGCCCGATTTTTATGTAAAGATGCGTCGCAGCTTTGTACCTTCGATGCGATATTTTATCGAGTCTCATTACGTCCTAGTGTGTCATGTACAGCGTGTTCTTTTTATCTGTATGCTTTACAGCTCGCACCGAATCATAAAAGTTTCCGAACAAGATGATTTGTAAACGATGTGTGTAATATATTTGAATTTAATCTTTATCCGTCCTTTTATTTAGGATAATTCTCGGATAACGTTATCTCATATATAGAGAATATTTGAAAGAAAGTTTCGGATAATTAGTTTTTTGTCTCGATAGATTCGAATTAACTGACGAAAGTAAAAAAAAAATTAACAAAAAGCACTTACGGTTCGGGAGTGTGATACGGGCTGTTGATGTGGCGGACGTATTGAGTGCTCTGGAATACTCGGAAGGCAAGACTGGACAAGAAGTCCCGCGCCGTCAAGAGACCGGCGGCCGGTCGAAGAGTGAATCCCGTGCTCTTCTTCAAGAAATCGCTGACTTCCTGCAACTGCGGTATACGGTGGGACTCGAAAATCCTCTCCTCTTGCAGTATCTTGAAAACTCTCTGGTATTCCACGCACGCGTGTTTCGGCACCAGGTCCAGGACGGTGTTGAAGACGCACGACCAAGTCTCGTTCTCCGTCTCGGTGTAAGGAATGCAGGGTATCGGGTCGCCGTACTTGTAGGCGAAAGCGATTTCGGCGATGACCTTGCGACGAGCGCGGTACTCTTTATCAGCGAAGCCCGGGTGATTCATGTCGAGATCCGGCTCGTACTTGGTCATCAGGTGGTTGCAATTGTCGAGGTCGGCAGCGTGACGCGGGAACCAGGGATCTTTGATACTGACGGAATTGTCGGCAAGCAGGGTCACGCCGTCCAAGGCCGAGCTCTGTCGTAGATTTCTAATCAGTTGCAACAGATTCTGTCTGTTCATGTTGATCTTAACCAAGACCTCAAATTGCAAACCCTCCTTCTTGGAGGGCCGCGACTCGACATGGGTGATCGTGCCCTTGAAATTTTCGATCGTTTTCAGGATCCTGCCCAGAGCACCGATGCCCTCTCGCAATCTTAATACCAGCGCCGCTTTCTGCACGCCTTGCTCGCTTTCCGTGGATTCGGCTATACTTTTCGCGAGCACTACTTCCTCCTCGGTCAGTCCAGAATCTGCGGAAAATCGAACATCGTCTAGCCTTTGTTTGACAATGACATTCAACATTTTTCGGAATGAACTTGAATTATTCGTCAAATAACCGTTGCCAAGATTTCTCTTAAAAAGATTTTTGTCGCTAAGTGACATCGTTCTATGCAAAGATTCGACATTTGAGAAAATATGAGCGTCTTAATGATATACATATATATATAGTTAGAATGAGAAAAGCGTAAATTTGATCTATGAAACTTTCCCGGGAACGATTCTTTTTGGGGACAACTTCTCGCGAGTACCCTAAGTGACTTCCGCGGACGGTAATAATCGAGCAATTCAAAGTCCATTTTCGCATAGCGCCTTATGCCGTCACGTCGGAAACGGCACCGTCTACTTGGCCGCGGGGGCGACGGAAAAGTGGCAAAGTAGCCGTCATTGTCGTGGGCGCGGACGTGCCGGCGAGATGGAAGGTAACGCGAAAAGGAATAACCGTGTTACACATTTACTGCCACGCAGGGCCGCTTGTGAAATCTCGAGAAAGGCTCCGCGCTCCGGTAATACGATTCTAAATGCACAAAGCGGCCGCGGAGGCCGAAGGCGGGTTGGAAAAAGACG